CTGGGAGTTGAAGTCCACATGTCTTAAACTTGCCAAGGTTGAGAAACGCTGATCTATGTGGTCGCTAAGAGTGGACACCAACTTGATGGCACATAATCAATCAATCATGGTGGCCCTCCCTACCCTTGAATTTCCTCCCTACTCTGCAGAGTCGCATTTAATTCTGGGTGCTGAAGAAGGAATCTTTGCTCTGAACCGGAGTGAGGCAGAACCTGCTCTAGAGCTGGTGAGACTGACAGAGGGCAGGAATGGGTCTGAAAGACAGAAGGGAGAGAGGACAGAGAATTCATGTTCTGGCCTGCTTTGATGAATGTCATCCTTTCCTTCTGTTTTGTCCCCTTCCCTTTCTCAAGCTCTATCACAGCCGAACAACGTGGGTTTACTGCATAGGAAATGTTCTCATGTCGCTTTCTGGTAAGTTGGTCACCCAGGAGTTGTGTTCATGCAACACGCACTTAACCTGGTTAGGGAAGCAGCCTATCTTCTGGGTTTGCAATGTGTTGAAGCATACCCTAAGCAAACACAGTAGATTCGGACAACCAGGTAAACCCCAAAAACACTGGCCAGGGTTGACACTGACCATGTTCTGTAAATGCTGCTGCTAGATCTTAATTGATCTGAGTGTGTCTGTTGTTGGAACCCAGCCATTCTGAAGCAGGGAGGAAGTGAAGAAAGTAGAAAGCTGGATTTTGGAGGCCTCAAGAGAAAAGTGCATGCGTGGTGCAGCAGAGAAAAATAAGACTTTGTGGACATGAAGAAGCAATAACATGTGCTTTCTGCAGAAACCAGAACGATGGTGGATAGATATACCTTTCACCTGTAGATCTTTAGGTCTCAAACCTTTTGCCCATATTGAAATTTTTGAAATCAAGGCTGGAAGAAATGAACCCCCGACGTCCCCAACCCAACACCACCCAGATATGCTGACTACAATTCCCATAAGCTCCAGCCATCATGACCAGCAGTTCTAATTTCCCCAGCCAGGGTGGCAGATGCCTTTTCTGCCCTGCCCTGTGCTTTTTATTGCAACTTCTTGTTTGCCTGTTGAACTGGGTGCTGCTCTCCCCAGGCCACGTTGATCCTTCCCAACTGCCTGTAATCCTCATGGAGATACAATTAAAATTGGGATATGCAGAGAAGCATCTAATTCATGTCATTTGGTGAGAGTCATGACCCATGTTGCAGGCCTCTTCAGGGGCATCCACATGGCATGGTCCAAAAAGTCAAGACGGCAACCACAAGGGTGCAATCACAACTCCGCACATAAAAACAGAGCTTCAATCACACTTTGGCTGCCAACCTGACTTTCTTGACCATACTTTGCACACACCCACCCCCAGGCCCCTTTCCAGATAAATGATATAGATGGACAAGAAGGGGTTGGGGCTGAAAATAACAAAGGCTCCTTTGCCCCTGTAGGAACAATCAGTTTTAATTAGGGATCTAATTAAAAAAGAAAGAAAGAAAACATTCTCAGCACATTTTAAGCTCTAGCACAGTGTTCCTCATGGCTGGCTGGGGAATTCTGGGAGGTGAAGTCCACATATCTTAAAGTTGTGAAGGTTGAGGAACGCTGCTCTAGCACATTTTAAGGGTCAAAAAAATTCAGCAAATATTTCTCTAACCTTTTGTTGAAAACAAGAGAGGAAGGCGTGGAATCCCCATGAGCGATGAAAATTTGGTTTAAAAAGCCACAAAAGCTCGAATTCTATTGAGGTTTTTTTCCCCCTATGCCCATGTTTCTCAATCTTGGCCACTTTAAAACGTGTGGACTTCAACTCCCAGAATTCCCCAGCCAGCATGAATTCTGGAAGTTGAAGTCTTCACATCTTAAAGTGGCCAAGTTTGAGAAACAGTGCTCTATACTAAAAAACAAAACAAGACAAAAAAAACACCCTTCTTCCTGCAAAGAAATATGCAGTTCCAATTAAATTACTGAGCGTAGAGTTTTCATTGGGTAGATTGCTAACTGATTATAGTGGTTTTTTTTATGTTCTTGGCCTTTTAACAACATTTTTATCTGCAAAATTCAGGAAGTGGTAATAATTTGAGCAGCCTGCTAATATCTGGAGACCTAGCTGCTGTTAAACTACAGTTTCCTCTTTTTATTCTTTGTATTTTTTTGCCTTTTCACCTTACATTTTAAAAGCCACCCTGAGAAAGCAGTAATTGAAAGAGCGTAAGCAATTGAAATAAAAATCAGTACCCGCGAGTGAGAACGGGCAAAGAGGATTTGAAGGACAGAGTGGAGTTCTAGTAAAACAGCCTCAGCATGCATTACTAAGGACTTTAAAAGGTTCCTGTGGCAGCTCCTTTTCCCTATAGTGGCCTCCTGCAAATACAGACCGACTAATCTTGCAAAGAACCTGAACAGAATCCCTGATAGTTAATGCCCAGTATAGCCAATTAACCCTGATCCATTTTCTTTTCCCTTCTGTTCAGGCAAGGCTCCCCAGCTCTTCTCCCACAATTTACTGGGTCTGCATGAGCAGAGCAAGAGGGACCAACGCCTTGTGGTATCCCTTTCCCCCCACAGGCTATTGCCCAGGTAATCCCTTCACTAGAAAGATGTGTTTTCTTACCACTTCCTTAATTCTTCAGCATTCATGAAGATTTGAGAATTGTCAATCTCTTTGTATGGCAGAGGTCTTTAGCAGGAGCCTGACTGGCAGAATGTTCAACAGGTTGTTTTCTCACTCTTACTTAGAAGAACTTATCCCTACTAGATTTCTGCAGGCAAGGGGAGAGTTTGCAATTAAGAAGTCAGTGGGGAAAATGTGGGCAACTCTGTGGGGTTATGAAACAAAGAAAGTCAACCTTAACTTATGCTTTGGGGGATGGTAAAAAGAGGAAGATGGAAGTGAACCATATGTTTCCTTGTGGATGGAGCTGGACTTAGGGAGACTGAAAGGTTTTAAGAGAAAAAAGGATGGATGCAAAAAAGAAGAAAAACTCAGTATGGTTCTGGATCCATGGGAGAAGGCCACCATATTCTCAATAAGCTTCTTCAGCTTTGTTCATCTTAAACTGACAGTGCTGTGTCCTCTAAAGTACCGAATGGACCAGAGCTCACAGAATGATAGGACAAGTCTAAAAAGCAATCATGCTCCCCTCCCACAATCATCTGATCTTTTCCTTTCTTCCTTCCCTCTAGGAAAAATGTCATCACCACCAAGATTCCTGACACTAAAGGATGCCAGAAATGTTGCACAGGTGCTTTGAACGCCCATCCTAGGGACAGTGATGGTCACTGTGGCTGGCACTTCCCCTCTTCCGCTCGGTGCCCTGTGTAGCATCAAATACAGCATGTTCCCCTTTCCTTGCAGCCAGGAACACCCAGAACAGTTGCCACTTTCTCTGTGGAGCGTTGGAGGCGGGGGTGGTACTGCTGCAATGGTATGAACCCATGCAGAAATTCATGCTGGTCAAGGTAAGAGCTGCCCCTTCTGCCAGACGAAGCATCTTTTTGCCACGATCAAGGTGGGCATCCCAAGGAAGAGACAGCCAAGCGGTGTGTTTTATAGCCAAGTTGGCTAGGCCACGTTGCTTGTAATTTAGTGCATTGGGTGCCATGCCAAGGCAGACATAGGTTGGTGCCAAGCAGCAGAGAACACCTCTGCTCCACCCTGGGCATTCCCTCTGAATGTCTCTCGCCGATTTATTATTGAAACTGTTTTTGGGTCCCAGGGTTTCCCAGTCTTCCAACACCAGACATTTATTCATTCTGGCGGATAACTGCTCTGTTTTGATACTTGGCTAGGTTGAATTTTACAGTAAGGATAGACCACCTTCAAGGAGGGCTTTCTAGCATTTTGGCCCTTGCCACCAAGCTGGGTGTTTTCCCCAGGGCAAAAATGCATGCATGGGTCAACATCTTGGGCCTCTGTGAAGGACCAGAATTCCCAGTGCAGAGAATCAACAGCAGCATGATTCACCTCCTGTGCTTGAATATGCTTCCTCTTCAAGTGGAGGCTTTGGTTTTATTTCTCACTGCCCAAGACTGCGAATGTTGGCTTTGGTTTTCTTGCAGATTGCTTTCCACCAGTGGAACAAATACCTGGTGCTTAATTACTGCCACAGGCAGTTGTTCATAGGCATGGAGCAGTGATGATGTAATGGACAGAAGGAATAACCTTGAGGGACAGGAGGAAGAGCCCCTACCAAGACAGGTCAAAGAAACCAGACCAGAACTATAATCGGAGAAAGCATCTCAAACAAGACCCTCCCTAGTTCTCCTAAAGAGAGGGATGGGGAAAGTGCATTCAGACTTGCAAGATTCTGCTACAGTAATTCTATAATAAAAACATTAGTCTGGATGACTTTGGTTTCCTAGTCTGGTCTACCTTGAAGGGCTGACAGATGGCCATTAGTACAGGGTACTCCCCTTGGCGTAGATGGCACTGTGGAGGAGAGAATGCATCAAACCCATTCAGGAAATCCTTCTGTTTTCCTCTTTTGTTAGTACTTTGATTTCCCCCTGCCTTCGTTGCTGCCCGTCTTTGAGATGCTGATGACTCCTGACGAGGAATATCCGGTGGTCTGCATTGGTGTGAGCAAGGGCCCACCAGGACAGGCCGTGCAGTTCCAAGTCATTAACCTTAATTCCCTAACTTCCTGGTTTATCAGCGACAAACTGGGTGAGTGTCCTGGAAACATGCTGATCTCTTTTTTTTTTTTTCCCCTAAGTAATTTCATTAAAGACTATAATTACAAGATGGACAATAATAAGGTAGAACATACTTTCGACCACCTTTTAGTAGAAAAGTCATACCAGCTCATTTCCTCTTTGTCTACTCAAAAGGTCACCTTCTCCACTAGGCTGATGATCTGCCAGCTGGAGCCCTTTAGGATTAAAAGTAGAGTTTAAATTAATACCAAGCCATAGTTCTGAACAATTAATCTGTTTGTCCACAGAACTTTCCTGCTCTGGCTTTGTCCAGGTGACTCAGTTGGATAACAAGATGGTGATGGTTCTGATGGACAGTAAGTAGGAGTGAGGTGGCTTTTGGTTTGTCAGTACTGAGAGGAGGGCAGTTCCTGCTGGGCCAACGCACTTTTGGCTTGTTTCTCAGGAAGCATCCAGTTTGTCAGCCCCCAAGGGGCACTGCTTGAATCCCCACCAAAACTCACCTTTGACGTAGCAGTGGAGTCAGTTGGTGAGTCCCTTTTCTCCACCCTGCTCAGCATTTTCTCCTCTTCCAGCTTGCATCCTCTCCCTCATCTGAAGCTCCTTTCAGGTCTTAGAGGAAGTACAGGTTGATATCTCCAACTCTGATGGAGAAAGAGATCTAACTTTCTTGCCTGACAAATGCTGCCTGTGGTTCTCTGGTTGCGATGGTGCTTGTGGCAAGCTTGCTGGCTCATCCGTCAGGAGTATGGAGAGATGGGATCGATCTTGCTGTGGGTTAAGGTTGGGTCTCCTTTTAGTTTGAGGAATGCTAGACCACTTTTGAAGAATTCATCTCCCATTCCACTTTGCGGGGAGGCTTCTCCAGTGCCTGGGAGGCTTTTATGAAATGGAGAGTAGCTCGTGGTGGTGGACCCTGAACTTGCTTCTTTTGTCTCCAGCACTGGTGCAGAACTGCGTGCATGCATTTTGGCGCCATGGTGTACAGACGCGGCCACTTGGATCAGGGCAGGTAAAGAGAGAGTGGTTGTGTTTCCAGCATGGTGTGGTCAGTCTTCTGGAGATTTCATGCCAAAGATGGTGGTAGGAGAAGAGCCTAAGATGTTTTCTTCTCCCCTTATTTTGTGGGTATTTTCTAAGGCTAAGACTTTGAGGCATTCCTAACCC